TAACAAACGTTCTGGTCCGCTTGCTGCATCTCTTGCCAATCTTACAAACCTGAGAGAATTGTAAGTCTGCGAAAAACTTCCTGATTTTCTAAATAACTACTTGTTACATAGAGAACGGGAGAAGTATCAGCCAGAGGCTCAATACCGCCTAGCTACAATTGTTTGACTTCTCTAACAAAGCTGTGAGTCACCAGCCGTTTCTTTTAGCAGTTAGCATTTACTTTGGCTGTTTTACCAGGACCTTAAGGAACTGTCAGCTATCTGGTTTTATACCTGACCTGGGAAATCTTACCCAGCTCACACACTTGTAAGCTTGCAGGAAGGTCTACAACTTAGAAGATGTATTTAACGTTGTTATTGCAGGCATTTGAGTTTCAACAATCTGACTGGGACAATTCCAGCATACATATCATCTTTTGATCGTCTTAGCAGACTGTAAGTTCTTCATCCCTTGATTTATGTCTAAAGGCAATCCAAGCATTTTCAGTTTCCTGGGAAGTAACAATCTTACTGGAGGCCTCCCGAACCAGCTCTCGAGAATCGTCGACTTGTACGTAGACTGCAAAAGCGTTTCCCTCTTCTAACCAAGTACTTTGCACATATACAGAGATGTATCGTTCAACAGGCTGACTGGACCTGAGCAAGTATGCATTTTTTCTCCATGTGACATGCTAATTTCTCTGAACTTGCACAGGAATGCTACCATTATTGGCAATCCGTTCTCAGCTACTAGAACTCAAGGGTATGGTTCTCTTCGTGTTCAACAAGGTTCACCTCACCATGTTTTCATTGCAGACAAAATGCGAATACTGCTACGTGTTTACAGGATATTTCAAACTGCGGCAGTGTGAACCAAGGAAATAGTTGAGTGATATTTGCTGCATAAAGTCTTCACTTGATATAGACATATTTCCTATTCAGATGCTATCAACTGTGGTGGACCTCAGATCATTTCGGATGGGACAGATTTTAACATAGACATGCCAAGTTCTTTTACTATTCCACAGGAGGATGGGTATCTAGCAGCTCTGGTTTGCGGAATCCTTTCAAGATAACCCGACTTGGTTTCAAAGCATAGATGGTTCCACTGGTCAGCAGGCTGTACTATATCAAACTGCCCACATCTTTGAGGTGCCTCGGAGTTGGCATGCGAAGTGGTTCATATACAGTACACCTCCACTTTGCAGAGATTACCATCGGCACTGGCCAGGACGGACCAGGAGTGGGTATCCAGGGCGACAGAAAGCTCAAAGATTTCAACATACGGGAAGAAGCCAATGGGTCTCTTAGAGCGTTGAGAAGGAGCTTCACTGCCGTCAATGTATCTAACGGCGTTCCTGACATTCATCTTCTTTGGATGGGGAAAGGAACATGTTGCGCTCCATTCAGATCTTTCGGTCCTCTGATATCCGCAATCCAAGTTCTACCTGGTAAGTGTTAGATACTGCTGCCACTACGAAAGTTTGTCTTCGTTCTAACATTGCGTTTCGGAATTTGAAACTGGTCAGAGTGAAAACAGTTCCAAAGGCGTAAAAATAGGTGTTGGAGTCTCGGTGCCACTCGTGGTGCTCTTTGTGGTTTCCGGTTATTTGTTGTGGAGGAAACGACACAGAGAACGACGATGAAGGTCACTTAATGCTTTTGCGAATTACTTTTACTAATGTTTTGTGCCATGCAGAGCTCAAACTTCTAGACGGAAAGCTGCATATGTTTTCTTACGATGAAATAGAAAACGCTACGGGGGGATTTGACCCCGTGAGATTGTTGGGGAAAGGAGTATTTGGCAAGGTCTACAAGGTAAAGTTTTCTTTCTGGTAAAGTGTTTGAACTTTCAGGTTATCTGATGGTACGGTGGTAGCGATCAAGCAGCTTAATAGGATCACTGGATTATCTGATGTTGTGAACGAGGCCACACTTATCTGCATCGCGATCTAGTCAAGCTTTATGGATGCTGCACCGAAGGAAACAATTGGATTCTTGTTTTTGAGTTTATGGAAAACTCGCTTCAATAGATGCATTGGAGTCGCAAAAGGGCTCGCTTATTTGCACGAGGAGTCATCACCGCGTATCAGACATTGAGACATCAAAGCTACCAATGTACTTTTGGATCAAGTTCTGGTGGCAAAGGTAGCGGACTTTGGTTTGGCAAGGCTCTTCGAAGATCATCAGTACGAGGGTGGCAGGAACAATGTGAGAGCTCAAAGTTCTTGTAATTGCTTGATATGATCATCTCTGATTTTTCTTTCTTCTTTCAGGGGATACCTGCCTGCAGATGTCTGCAGCTTTGGAGTTCTGGTACTAGTAGAAATCGTGAGCGGAAGAACCAATCTGGACACCACGAGTGAAGACATGACCCATCATTTCGATCACGTACGTATAAAGATTTACGAAATGTTTGCTCTTTAACTCGCGTCAATGATCAGTACCAAAGCGATAAGCTACTACAACTCCTGGACAAGAGAGCCGACAATGCCGACGACAAACAAAGTTATAAGCACCCAAGCGACAGCATCACAGCGTCCAGCAATGTCCAAAGTTGTGGCGATGCTCACCGGCAGCGAGGAGGTGAGGGTGAGAGCTCCTTGCTCCCGGGATGCTTCAGCGTCATGGAGATGGTTCCCCGGATGCGAGAGTTGCTAAGCAAAGACCGAGAGAGCCGAGAGAGCTGATCGAGCAAAGACCCCAGCAGCAGTGCCAGCAGCAGCATGATCGGACTGACTCGCCATGGCAAGGATCTTCATCGGCAATCAACAGTATACTTCCAAGGTAGAGCCTCGAGTTTTGAAGCCATAGAGATGCCAGGAATATGCCCAATCCCGGCATATTGAAAGCCCTCCTCCGTGCGCCACATTGCACGTCTGTCCAGATGTAGGCGGCGCTGGCACAAGAATCTCTTTTCCTGGAACATCACCCTGGGCCACGAGGGGCTGGAAGATGCCTGGGACCTCTTTCGGAAGATGCCCAGCCGCGATACCGTGTCGTGGAATCTCATGTTTGCAGCATATGCCCGATCAGGGCATCTTGCTGTGGCCAGAAATCTCTTTGATTCCATGCCCAGGAAGAGCCTCGTGTCCTGGAACTCAATTGTGCAAGCCTGCAGTAGCCATGTAGGGTTTCGTCTGATCGCACCCCGGGCAAGAACGTTGTCTCCTGATCCAAGAGAGGTGCCGGGCCAGAGATGTCTTTGATAGAATGCCGCTCACGGATCTCATCTCCTGGACGATGATCGTCACGGGTCACGCCGCGCGGGGCAAGATCGAGGTGCCGGAGAGGAGCGCTGTGGCTTGGAACGCGATGATCCAGGCGGCTGTCAGGAAGGGGATGTGGATGCCGCAGCGTCGCTTTTCACGGCCATGCCGCCTGGGCGGGATTGTAGCTCCTGGACGTCGATGATCTCTGGCTATGCCAGGAACGACTGAATCGGGGCGGCAGTGCGCTGGCCGAGAGCGGCGATCAGAGACCTGGAACGCGATGATCCAGGCCTACACCGCGAGCGGTGGTTTGATCGCCGCTGTAGAGGTCTTCGATCGAATGCCGCAGCCCGACGTGATCACGATTGTCGTGGCGATCGCGCAGGTTCGATGCCATGCCAGAGCGAAATCTTGTTTCCTGGAACGCGATGATGGCCGGCTACGCCCAGAGTGGAGTTGGCGACCACGAAGTTGGCGTACATCAGTCTGGATGGAGTAACGATCTGTCCTCCATTGAGACTGTAGGAGCCAGCACACATAGGAAGAGGAAGAGGTCTGTGATGGCACTTCAGCTCCGAAACGTGCATCACACAAAAACGTGGCGGGTTTCAAAAGTATAGTATCATGAAGCTTAGTTCCCAATGGCAGCTGCAACCTGTATGCCACCTGGTTGATTCTTTCTAAAACCTGGAAAGGTCCGAAGAATTGCAGGTGCAGCTTGGAAACCGTACATTTATACCCAGTCCCCAACCTCAAAGGCTCGAAAAGTTCTGTGCTGGTCCGCAAAAAACTTCATGGAATCCTGGGCAGCATGGAGATGGTTGCAAACAAGAGTGTGGAGTTCCTGTATGGCGTGAAGATGCTCTTGTAGATCAGAATCTTGAACGATCAGTGGAGAAAATAGACCAGGCACCTCTCGACCATATAATGCTGCATACGGGACATTCCAATGGCAGAATGATGAGTCGTGTTGTACGCGTATTCAGCATGAGCCAAGATGAAGGCGTATGCACGTAGAAGAGCCTCTAGAGTGTGATTGGTTCTCTCTGTCTGGCCATCAGACTCTGGATGATAAAGTTGAGCTTCGTCCCCAATGCCCAAAACAGTCCTGTCCAAAAAGCTGAGAAAACTTTGAAACAATGTCCTGAGGAATCCCACTTTTCCCTTCTCAAATCACGACGTCAAAACAAGCACGGAGAAAATCGAACAGAAATCCGACTCCAGCGTGACAGTTTCAGAGCTAATAATCTCGCTGGGAATCTCAAGGACGAGATCTCCAGCTTTTAAATCGCACGCTGCAGGCTGCAGCCCCTCCTCGACCATATCCTTCAAAATCTGTTTTGTCACAAAGCTTTTAAGATCGTCATAGAAAAATATACCCAGACTCACCAGCTATGCCAATGTTGCTTTTGACTCCTCTATCCTTTGCCCATTCAGACAAAGATTTATCTGCGTTCGTTCCTCTCGCACGGAGCGGCGAAGTTGCCTACATTGCTTTCATATTCATCCAGCCTTTCCAAAACCATTTTCTCGAGCTCGGAATCCGTGCTGGAAACCAGCAAAGATCGAACGAGATCATGCCTCCTTCATCGTCTTCCAGAAAATAACATTCTGTCTGAGAGCAATGAAGAAAAACAAAAGGCCACTGGCATTTCTCTTTGCTGGGCGCAGCTTGAGGCCTCGATCCTCCAAAATCCTCTGCATTTCATCCAAACTTCATCCTCTGGCGCTAACCCTAACGAACATTCTCTTAAATTTTAGAAATTAAATAGCTGCCACGTATACCAATCTTTCTGTACCGCGTAACGGCCAGGCTATGGCGAGCGAGGCCGCGATGGCGCTGGCGATGCCGCTCGGCTGCTGGTGAGTGATTCTTGCCAGATCGTCTGGGAGTACTGATCTTCGCCGAGCGCCTCAAGATGAGAGGGGGCAGATTTCTCAACTCTCTGCGGCAGCTAGCCAGGCAGCCAGTGAGCAACACGCCTTTGATCTGCAACGCATTCGAGCTGGGGCACGGCGTTTCCACGCTGATCAAGCAGGGGTGTATGTCGCCGCCGTCCAAGGAGAAGCAGTACTTTTTGATCGGGCTCTCGTCATCGATGAAGCAGCAGCACGCTGCTGCCATGAAGAACTTGCTGATTTCCACACACATCAAGAACAGCAGCTCTGCCGCTGCTATGGTGCAAGAACCTCTGGAAGATAAAATGGAAGCTCCTCCTCCGGTGGAGGACAATGTGGTTCCTCTTGCACTGGAAACATCTTCTCCGGCAGAGCAAGTTTGTGATGCTGGGATTTCTCCCGGTTACTAGGGCGTGTGTTTCGGCAAGCCGAACGATGTTGGGCCGAAGATTTGGAATCCCTTCCGGGTAAGGGATTTCTGATGGAAGAGCAGAAGGACGACCGTACAGCGGACGAAGAAGACCCATCTGGAACGTACTGCAGACACTCAGTACGTCACGGAAGATGAAGTAACCCAGCGCATCAAAGGATGGCTGAAGGCTATGGAGGATAGGATGTATCGAGTGGAAGACCATCTACAGGGACTTTGTTATGGCATTCCTCGCTCAACTGCTACAGGGACTGCAGCAGTGGAGCGAGGAATGCTATAACAAAGTCATGATTACTTTCGAAGAGCTGAAGAACAGTGCATCTCAGACCACCGGCAACTCCACTACCTCGCAGGAACAAATTGACAAGCTCACCGAGGAGAACCGTCAACTGCAGTACTTCGTCGACAATATCCGAAGCAGCATGCCGAGATAAGTAGGAGATGGAGACTCCTACTACTCTAGGGTCAAACTTTTCAATTCTAAAACGAACAGTAATCACACAAGAAAATGAGTTCACATAAAATTCATAAAATTCAGGAGGCAGACAGATTCACAACTCAGCTTAGTGTGCAACTCCAGGTGCAAACTTACACTACTTCCATAAGAGAAATTGGGTACAGGCCGCTAACACATCTTGGAGGGTAAGGATCAAGGTTTCTCCAACCGCATCCTCTAACCAAAAGCACGAAAGAATATTCCAAGTTCCGAGTACGGGCTCCTCCAACCGCATCCTCTAACCAAAAGCACGAAAGAATATTCCAAGTTCCGAGTACAGGCTCCTCCAACCGCATCCTCTAACCAGTTTGAGAAGATAACTACTCATGAATTGAACACCCAGGAGCAATTACTACCCAGAGCAGTTACCAGATGACTTCATCCGTACAAAAGGCCCAGTATGGGAGCTGTTAAGTATAAATAGCTGTGCGTGATGCTTCTTGTCCTGGTGGCTGGCCTCGGGCAGCAGCACAGCCTGCCAAACTGCTCCAAAACTGCTATTTTGCTTTGTTAGCAACTCTGTCAGAATAAACAACGCAAGTAAAGGTCTGGAGTTCTGCAAAATAATTGCTTCTCAGCAATTATTACTTCGTTTTTTCAATTGATAAGTATTTGAATCACAGGTCCATGGCAAAGCAGGCGTGATTGATGCATCTGTGCAAATTCTGGAAGCACAGGGCTATGAGTATGTGGGAGAGTTGAAGCAGGTCACATACGAGGAAGTGATTGAGCTCAAAATGCCTAGAACATCTGCTCTTTGCTTGATCATGAGATCTGCATATGTCCCGATGTGGGACCTTGTTTCAATGTCAAAGACTTCATTGATTACTATTTGGCACAGTTTGGGTGGTTTTTTGAACTGATGAGGAGAGATCACAAGATGCTCGCATCTGGAGAGGTAGTTAAATTTGTTTTCCTTGTTGTTTTACTTGTACGCTTACTTTATGTTTTAGATTCAGGCAGAACAGCCGATATTAGCCTTAGATATTTCGAATGAGTCTGAATTTTCAGACGAAATAGACTTGGTTGCTATTACATTTTCTTACGACTTCAAAATAGCAATGATTTTTCCAAATGGTTTCATTGTTCGTCTTACCAATGATCTTACAGTGGATCCTGAGAGTGGCGAGAGGCACAAGCACAAGAGGGAGCTAGGATCCGGCAACAAAAACACATTGTTATGAGGACATCTTCTTCATGATTTAAATACTAAGGATATTAAATATCATATGTGAGACAATGCTTTGAAGACTTGCATAAGAGCGTGTACATATCTTGTACAAATGTCGCATTGTTAGCAGTATTCGGCAATGTTGTGGAAGAGTGTAGGCCACCTGCAAGATCTTTTGACCAGTTGTTTGTGTTGCAAAGTGTCCTCCATGTGTTCCTTCGTGCACTTCTTCGATAACGATATTCGTTTCTTCTGGTGGTACATATCTTTGGAGCACCATCGCAAAATGTCTCTGATACCAGTCGCTGGAAAGTGAATGGTGCATTGCACAAACCAAATGGCATGACTCGGTAAGCATAAGCTCCCCATGGGCTGATGAACGCTGTCTTGTGCTGGGCTACCAGAACCTGGCTGTACCCGGAGAATCCGTCTAAAAAGCTGTACATCTTATGTCCGGCGACTAAATCAAGAATCTCCTCTGTAAATGGTATCAGATGGAAATCCTTCACCGTGTTGTTGTTGAGCTTCTTGTAGTTAACGCAGATCCTCAACTTGCTGTTTTTCTTTGGTACTACTACAATTAGTGATATCTCAATCGGGTAGATAAAACCAACCTTAGCAATTTATCGACCTCCTCTTTTATCTTCGCCATGAAACTCGGGTTCATGTGGTACGGTGCCTGTCGTCATGGTTGGTTTGTTGGTAGTAGCTCAATTCGGTGTGTGCAGGGCTCCAGTGGCACTGAGTTTCTACTGTCATTTGGTACAGATCAGCTTCGCTGCTAAGCAGCGCCTCCTCTTCTTCATCACTTAGTCCTATTTGCCAGTCGTAATCGTCAATCACTCTAGGTGTGCTTGCTCTTCCAATGACTGCTTTTGGATTTAAAAGAATTTTCACTTTGGGATGGTAAGGGTGGACTGGGAGCCTAGCAAAGTCGGACTGGACCCCTACTTATCCTCTGAGACTGACAACAAAAATATACTACAATGGTTTCCCTTGTATGGTTCCCGGCCCCGTTGCCACGTTTTCTGACAGGAATTGAACACCCGACTCCACCAACGGATCAAAGGGAGCAGTTACTAGCCAGAGCGGTTACCAGATGCATCATCCGTACATAAGGCCCAGTACAGAGGGGTAATTTCCAACTCACACAGCTAAAAAGTTTTGTACTTGCTTCTTATTAACTGCTTATGAGATTTGCTTTCTACTCTGTGTCTTGGTCTTGTCCAGTATGCGCGTAGCAAGAGACTCCAGGTGGTCATGAGTTCTTCTGGGAAGCTTAAACTAGATTCGTGATTTTCAGATTGCCATAACCGAAACTGGCCAAATTTGTATGGATCCAAAGGTGTCGGCTTTTATACGATGCATCCTGGCTGGGTTGGTCGGGACTGTGCGCGATCCAGGTACATAGAAACGAGAAGAAACATAGTCTCATTCTCTTGTGTGTGATACTAGACGATGCGAGCAAGACTTGGCACCTAGGCTGTGGGAGCTTCCAGGGGCGAGAGTCTCAACATCTGGTAACCGCTCTGGGTAGTAACCGCTCCCTTTGATCTGTTGGTGGAGTCGGGTGTTCAATTCCTGTCAGAAAACGTGGCAACGGGGCCGGGAACCATGCAAGGGAAACCATTCTGTCAAAGGAGACAAGAACGTGGGAATCCGCACGTGCTGGCTGTGCCCACTGGCCCAAAGTTTTGGCCATGCAAGGGAAACCATTGTAGTATATTTTGTTGTCGGTCTCGGAGGATACCAGTCCGACTTCTTTATGTGCGAGGTATGTGTCTCTATGGTTTCTGTTCATAATTTCATCACGCATATTTTACCGCAGGAGTATGGCACCTTTGAGTCCCTTCCATGAAATAAGCTCCCTGGATCTTGGCAAGCATGTCAATTGTCACATTGAAAGACAAGCTATGTAAGTGACTATCTAAATTGTTTCAGAAGATAAGTTCAAAAACTTCAATGGATCATGATCCGGTAAATCCAATTGCCAATTCTATATCTCCAAAGCTAAACTTGTCTGAAATTGTATATCTTTGAATCTGATGTCCTATTCCAGCTTGAGTTAGAGCTTTTGATTTATTCTCTGTGAGTGCAGGAGGGCACTCGAATTGGAGCACTCATTGCTTTCATATTCACAATTCTGGCACTGGTGCGGCGCTTTTAAGGATTTTTTGGTCACAGCAACAGATCTAATGTTCATCACATATCTTGGTTGGTTTGTGCGCTCAATGACACTGACTGACAGACCATTTCAGTATTTCCTTTAGCAGATCCCAAACTGCAATAGAAGCATTGCTACTGTAAGAACAAAAATATTATTTTCTCTTGTGTTTTAAAGTTACTGCTGAGGTCATGGGAGCAGCAGTGCCTACAATTTCAGACTCAAAGTAGGAGCAAGTAACTGATTTTCCATTCTCGCCCTGTTTCTTCTTGTTTGTACTGTTTTCTAGAAGATTAAGTAAAACATTTTGTCAAGTATGCTTTGTAAGGCTACGGCCACGAGAATAGATCTTTGTTCCAGATGCCCACAAACACCTTATGTGCTAGATCATATGCCTGTAGTATCGTGTTTCCCACGAACTAGTCTTCAGCGCAGCCGGGATGCCTCGCGGAAACAAAGCCGTGCACGCGACGAACTTGTGTAGATTATTCTCTTGTATGCACCACTTGAGAAGAGACACAAAGGCTCTCGACACTGCTGTGTTGCATCCACAGCTCCCCTTCGCTTCCATTCACCGATGCCACTGCCGTGTATTAAAGAAGCTGCCCCGGATATGGAGCTAGATTTCTCAACCAAAGAAGAAGAATGGTTTGGCTTTCTCCAAGTCCAGAATATCATCAAAACAATACATGGCAAAGAAGAACCTCGTACAAGATAGTTGTACAGGTGAGAACTCTTCTTTTGCCGTGTAATACTTCCACTCGTACTTGGAGCCAGGCTTCACTTCCAAAAGTTGGCAGACTTGTATGATGTTGCATTTTTCCCTGGAGCCAAGAGCTTCGATTTTCTTACGTTTAAGGTACTAAATTTGTTATCCCAGTTACTAAGCTTGTGGAATCTATCTCAGTGCTTCATGCTCGAGAGCAAGAGATATGGCGATGGATGGTGTGGCTCGATCCCAAACTCCTCGTTTGCAGCCGTGTAAGCTCCCAGCTCCACATCGCCGTGAGTCCTGCAAGCGCCCAGCATGGAGCAGCACGCCGCTGGGTCCGGCACGAACGGCATGTTTCTCAGCAAGTCGTGAGCTTCTCTCAGCTGCCCGACTCTCGCGAGAAGATCCACTAGGCTGCTGAAGTGCTCCACGAACGGATCAATCCCGAGCTCTGCCACCATCATCACAAAGTAGCTCACTCCTTCCTGGATTAGACCCAAGTGATTGCACGCTGACAAGACCCCCAGCATCGTGATCTCGTCGCACTTGATCCCCTCAAGCAGCATCTCGCCGAAGTGCTCCAGTGCCAGTCGCTCCTGCCGGTTTCCAGCACACCCGAGGATCATGATGCTCCAGGACGCTAAATCTCTATCAGGGATCCTCGCGAAGAGTTTGTGTGCTTGATCAAGATATCCGCACTGGACGTAAGCTACGAGCGTCGAGTTGCATGACGACATGTTGCATTGCGGCACCCGATCAAAGAGTATCGCAACTTTCTCCAGAAGCCCAGTCTCGGCACTTGCCTGGATCACTGCGTTCCATGAAACCACGTCTCTCTCGGCCATGACATCAAACAGTTGTTTCGCTTTGTCGAGTAAGCTGGCTCGGGCATATGCCAAGAGCATAATTGTCCATGAAAACTTACACTGTAGAGGCATCTTTGCAAGGATCTCTTCCGCAAGCTCAAGGCTTTCTTCCAAGGCATATGCGTTGAGAACGGTGTTCCAGATTGTATTATCTCGTTCTTGCATGCGATCAAACAAGACTTTAGCTTGACTAGACCCAGCGTGTTGCGTGAGAGCTTGCAACATTACGCAAAACGTAACCTTGTTATGCTGAGGCATCTTGTAGAAGGAACCCTTTGCATTGGCAAGATGCCTAGACTCGGTATATGCTGTGATCATCGTTGTCCACGACACAACGCTCCTCTGGGGCATGGAATCGAAAAGTTGGCGAGCCATTGGGGTTCTTCCCGATCGGGTGTAAGCCGAGAGAACCGCATTCCACGAGACAACGTCGTGCTGTGGCATCCGCGAGAAAGCAGCCGCGGCATCTTGGGTCTTTGCGCTGGAAACGAAGGCTGTGATGAGCAAGTTCCAGCTGAAGATAGTGGCAGAAGCTCCAAGCTTGTCGAAGACGTCGCGAGCGTCCGCGGGGCTGCCATGGCGGCCATACATCGCGATCAAGAGATTGTTGAGGTAAGAGTCGCGGGAGAAATCAGTGCGCTTCATCCCGGCGTGGAGGCATCGGCCCTCCTCCAAGTTCTTGCAAGATTGGACGAGCCTCGCGAGGGCATTCACTGTGGCCTTGTGCATAAATTTCCATTCCAAATGAAAGACTCACAACTCGAAACGGAAACCTCTCAGCTATACAAATTGGAGCTCCAATGAGCCATCTAATAACAGAGAGATGTTATAATAGTCACTGCAATCATAGAAATGGAGACACGACGGGAATGCGATGAAGGCGGAGGCGGTGGAGATGGCGGCGGAGGCGACGGTGGCGGGGGTGATGGTGGCGGTGGAGAAGGAGGAGGAGGTGGAGATGGCGGCGGAGGCGACGGTGGCGGGGGTGATGGTGGCGGTGGAGAAGGAGGAGGAGGCGGTGATGGTGGCGGAGGGGAAG